ATTACCTGTTCGCCAGCCATGTGCATTGATAATTGGAAATAATTCCTTACAAGCTGGATTCTACCTAGTAGAGTCTGGTAAGTTGTTTGGTGCATAATATCTTTTGTAACATTTTTGCAACATTTGTTGGTTGTAAAAATGAATTTTCTTTTTTCTAAACTATATTATTTTCCTATGGGGACGAAAGGGGGGGGGGGGTTATTAGGTGGTAGGACTCCACTTCTGCCAGTTAGAAGTTGTTTGGTGCATAATATCTTTTGTAACATGTGCGTTGGTGTTTGTTGTAAAAAATAATTTTTCTTTCTTTCTAATCTATACTATTTCCCTGTGGGGACGGAAGGGGAGTTATTAGGTGATAGGACTCCTCTTCAGCCTGGGCCACAGCCACATTGCCGTGTTTCGGTCTGAAGGGTAAACAGAGCCATCGAGGCTCAGTACTTCTTGATGACAACACAGCTGCTGCCTTCTTTGTTTGAAGTTGATTGCAGGTGTTCATAGAATGCTGCAGCCATTTACCATCACAGGTGGGTTGTAAGTTCGTTTTCACGTTAGTTTTGTAAAAAAAAACTGCCGGACGGATTGATTTCTGAATCTTAACAACAGCGCCACCTTCCGGATCCAAATATGAATCTAAGCCATCTAGAGACTCATTTAAACACAAACATTTCATTAAAATCGGTCGAACAGTTTTTGAGTTTTAGCTAGAATATCGGACAGAAAATTATTTTTATGTATAGTGATTATAAAACAGTGTTTTTTAAAGAATTATCGATATGGTACTTACTAACGATTTCTTATATTTACTCGAATAGTACACATTGAATAAAACTATTTTCTGATATTTAGTATAAATAAATTAAATTTTACATTATAAAACTAATTTTAATTTTACATTGAATAAAACGAATTTCAATTTTACATTGAATAAAAATAATTTAAATTTTTCATTGAATAAAACGAATATCAATTTTACATTGAATAAAACTAATTTTAATTTTACATTGAATCCTGAATATGTTGGGACGATCTTGAACATTTTAACATAATGCAGACTTCCCGAAGCGCCTATTGTATACTTAGATTATATAAAATATTATAGAATAGTACATCGCATTGAGATAATTCGCTATTTTCGTCAAGAATAATTAAATTTAAAAAGCCTTCGATGATTTATTAATATGATTGAAGTCATGATGTAGCTGTATGATGGCTGCGACACGAAGGGTTCAGCTACACCGGTGAAGGATCACGCTCTCATGGAATACCAGAGTAAAATATCTCTATTTCCTATGATGGCTGTAGAGAATCGGAGACCCACCTACAAACGAGGCATTCTATAGATCCCAACAAAAGGTTGACAAAGTGTTAGTATTTTGATTTTTAATCGTGATTAGATTAAGTTATCTCCGGCCACAACATCCATTTACAATCAATCGTGCTCGTTCGTCATCATATCACATGTACAAGAAATATTCCAACAGTAGTCGAATGAATTAAAACCACAGTCAGTATCGTAAACCTAGCCGTAATAGCTCAGAAGTTACGTGCTCGCCGTAGATCTTGATGTGCGCGAGCAACCCAGTTTCGATCATCGCCGGCACTAGTAAAAATTTCAATTGCTATTTTAAGTGCTGATTAATCACTTAATCGACTGTGAAGGAAATTAATATATAATAACTAATAAGATAAGAACATAATCATACTATTTATAGACAGTACGTATCTATTTATCATACTTTTGCATGTTTGTAGATCAGCCATATAGTCTATAGATAGATATATTTAATGAACTCTTTGGTTTATGTTTACCTTTTTTGTGCATACGTGCTTGTTTTTAAACTATTTTCTTCAACCTTGTTTTATGTCGCTCACTCTGGTTTTACTGCGGATATCCTCATTTCTGAGTCTATCACGCAGAGAAACTCCCATAGCTTGCTGAGCGACCTTGAGCGTCCTCATACGGCCAGCGGTGAAGGACCACGTCTCTGATCCGTAAGTCATCACTGGCAACACGCACTGGTTGTACACTTTAGTTTTCAGAGATTGAGGTATACCTGACGAGAAGATGTGTCGTAATTTCCCGAACGCTGCCCAGCCGAGTTGAATCCGTCGATTGACCTCTCGGTCAAAGTTGGACTTACCTTGTCGGACTATTTGTCCCAGGTAAACGTACTCGTCAACAACTTCGAGCATAGTGCTCCCAACAACTACCGGCATAGGTGTGACATGGACATTAAACATGATCTTTGTTTTGTCCATGTTCATCTTAAGACCTATCCGTTGGGAGACACCATTGAGGTCATTGAGCATAGTGCTAAGGTCCTCCAGCGATTCTGCCATAAGGACTATATCGTCGGCAAATCGAAGGTGAGTGATGTACTCGCCATTGATGTTAATACCGTATCCTTTCCAGTCCAGTAGCTTGAAAACGTCTTCCAACGCAGCGGTGAAGAGTTTCGGGGATATAACATCACCCTGTCTTACACCTCTCTGCAGTTGGATAGGTTTCGTACTCTGGTTCTGTACTCGGATAGCCATCGTAGCCCTACTGTACAAACACTTCAGCACTTCAATATACCGACAGTCAACTAGGCACCGCTGAAGAGACTGTAGCACCGCCCAAATTTCGACGGAATCAAAGGCTTTCTCATAGTCCACATACGCCAGGCAAAGTGGCAGATTGTACTCTTCGGACTTCTGTACAATTTGCCGAAGGGTATGTATGTGGTCTATGGTACTGAAGCCTTTTCGGAAACCGGCTTGTTCGGGAGGCTGGAAGTCGTCGAGTCTGCGTGCGAGACGATTCGTAATGACTCTCGAAAACAGCACGTAGACGTGGCTCAGGAGGGAAATCGGTCTGTAGTTCTTCAAGAGAGCGTTGTCGCCTTTCTTAAAGAACAAGACCACCGCGCTTCTGCTCCACGCCTCCGGAGTAGTGCCACCATGGAGGACGGAATTGAAAAGCTTCTGAAGGACTTCAAGTACCGGTGTTCCACCCGCTTTCAGAAGCTCCGCTGTAATTCCATCCTCGCCCGGGGCCTTGCCGTTTTTAAGGTGGTGGAGAGCCATTCTAATCTCGCTCAGACTGACGTCCGGGATATCATCGGAATAGTGTCGGATAAGACATGCTCTTGGATCGTTACTCACACTTGCGTGTGGCTCCAACGCTGATGTGTACCGCTGCCCATAGAACCTCTCAATCTCACTCAGAATCTCAGGTGTCCCGGAAACGATGTTGCCACACTCAGTCTTCAGCCTTGACAGTTGGCTCTTTCTGGCAGACAGATCTCTGGCAAAGACTTTGGAGCCCTGGTTCCGCTCGATCGCTTTTTTAATACGAGCAGTATTAAAGTTGCGTTTGTCATCCTTATTCTATATATAAAATATATACAACAGGGTATGATGCGGTATGTTCATGTTCATGATTCAGTATGCAAGTATCTGGAGTTCGATTCTCGAAGTCGACACCACTGATATTATCCGCTGTTTTAAGTGCTCATTAACCACGTGCGTGGTAGTATTTTTTTTATTGGATAGGGGGCAAACGAGAATGCGTCTCACCTGATGGCTTGTGTCAACCGCCGCGCACGAATAACTGCAACACCAGGAGAATTGCAGGTGCGTTGCCAGCCTTTTAAAAAGCAGTAAGCTTGTTTCTTGAAGGTCTAAGTCATAACGGTCTGGAAAAATCTCCAGTGGTAGACGATTTAACAAAGAGGTCGTGTGAGAAACAAAACTCCAACTAAAACGCACAGTGGTGGCGGATGATATCGTGACCAAACTTGTATGTCGGAGAAATCGTCTGTTTTTATCGGCTATTAAAAATCATGACTCCCCCACTTTAGGAAGGACTTACTAAAAATGGTTATCAGGTCTCATATGTTGTGGATGTATCCATCTTATATGTTATGTATATGTTACACTACTAAAGAGTACATGATTGATAATAACCCCCGGGAATGAGCTACATACTAATTGTGTAACATAATATATTATAAATTAAATTTATTTAAAAAACGTCCCGCCGGGTTTCTTACTGGTACTTCCCAAAACAGAGGTATTTTTCCGAAGCAGTGGTAAAAGTAAATATGACTTTCAATAAGAATTACATGTAAACAATATTAAATAAAATTAGTCTATTCCATTCCATTATATTCTATTCTATTCCGTCCTATCCTATTCTAACATATTCTATCCTATTATTACATCGCTAGCCATTGAATGGAACCTAGGGTTAGTAAAGAAAACAAAGAAGAACGTTAAGCCACACACACTTTTGGGTTTCCAATTCTTTTTATAGGAATACGATGCCGCAGATCTAACAACCTTACGCAGCGTTTGTATGGTCTATAAAAATTGTTCCGGGTTCCGATACAGGGGAAATTCCCAGAGTGGGTTAGAATTTTTTTACATTTTCTTACCTTTGAAGCATATTAAAGGTCCACTGCTGAACATAGATGGGATCATAGGGAGTCCTCCCTTTGATTTCCATAGTTGCCACGCTTGTCAGGCAGGGTTGCCAACCCAGCAGTTTTTTCATTTTAGTGGTTATTCGGAAGGCTGAAGACGAGGTCACCGGTTGAAATCACGGGTCATGCCAAAAAAAAGTCACTGAGTTTTTCTGATAAGAAATTCTTACTAGCAGCCCGGACTCTCAGACAATTGGTGGTGTTACCCCCCCCCCGTGCATCTGAAAGCACGTTCAATAAAAACAAACAAAGTCAGGTCAATTTGGCGTCCCATCGGACTGTGAGAGTGAGGGAATGGAGTACGTCTGTGCTTGCGCATAGACTTAGGCTAGTCTCCGTGAAGACTGACCGCCTTGACTGAAATTCTATCAAAGGGACATTATTATTATTAATACATTATACCCTGATTTTTCCTTTATAAGTTATACAAGTTTTTCTTCTGCGGTAACCGCGGTTAATTATGCGGCTAAATGTGTAGTGTTCGCGTAAATATTAGAAATGACTATCCTTTATACGCTGGTTTAATATCAGGGCATCACTGTACCACGAGTATTGTTTCATGAAATCGATTTTCGCGCTCGTCTGCACAACCACGCAGCGTCACGGATTTTGACGCGTCTGCATAATTCGAACGCTGAAAAGAAAACCGTTCAGGCCGCAGTCTACAATAGTCGCGAGTCGAGCGCGGTCCGCACTATGTTCGCGAGTATATACGTCGTTCGGGTTTTCGCGTTCGTCGCCCTAGTCGGGAGCGTCTATGCTCGTGTACAGGTTAGTGTGTGTAAGGTCTTTACGTTATTGAAGTGAAAATTTTTGAAATGGAAACTTCTTTGGGCATGTTGGGCACTTTTGGGATGGGAGAAAAGCACTGAACTCGCGTGACCGTCACTCTTAGATACATAAAATTGACGAAAGTAATGTTGAAAATACAATTGTAAATTTTATTAAGTTGATATGTATTTATGAATTTGTTTGTATTATATAGATAATAATTATTCTTTTTCATGTATATACTATATTTATACGCCGATAGAAATAATTTCTAATAAAAAATTTTCTAATAAAAATTTTTGACTTGTTAAGAAATATTTTAGTAAATATAAAATATTACCTAAAATATTTCTTAACATGTCAAAAAAAACGTTTACAAATTTGTGAAAATTAGAAGTTTTCACTTCTGACGCGTAGTCCTACGACTGACAGTTTTTATAATTACAATCCAGTGCTTGACGAAAATCCCATGCTAAGTGGTGAAAAAGTTGTAGTCAAGTTGTTAATTTTAATTTTAATGAATTATGTTGCACTTATAAACTTAAAATTCTGTATGCCGCATATAGAACGTATCTTATATTTTATTATGCAAATATGTGAATTAACCTATGATCACAAAATGAACAGACTTGATTTGAAAAGGAAACCCTAAGGTGCACTGACTTAGCGTAATAAAGCCTATTTACTATTGTCCTGTAGATATCCAGGATCGCAAATTATATCACTTGTTTTATAGAGTAACGGCGACTAACGAGCACACAGTCCATCTGATGGTAAGTGGATGCTGGGGCCCGCCCACATTTATCCCCAATTAAGAATCAAAATACTGATGAGTTGTCACCACTGAGGACTACGATGAATGCCTCGTTTCCAGTAAAAAGAGTCTCTGGTTATCTTGACACTCACCATACGAAACACAGCAGTATTTCACAGCAGCAGCTGCTAATTTACGCTGGCGCTGGCAAGCGTGTTTCATGTCCAGTCGAGCCTTTTTACTGATAACGAGGCATTTCATCTTAGTTTTCAGGGGTTTTCATTTTTCATAGATGAATGACGGAGATGCTTATAGACTGCAGCGTCTTACCACATGTAATATGCTCGTTTTTAATTTTTATTTGATTATAAAAATGAATAAGGAAAGAGTGACAAAGCAAATTTATGTTGCAGAAGTGAACGGAAGAGTCGGAAAGGGACGTCCTAGTTGAAAGATTATCGACCAAATTTGCGATATATTGAAAATGGACTAAATTAGGAGTACACTTAACCGACGAGTATGTATGTGAGACAGATGTGTCAGTGTCGTGCCAAATGGAAGTCTGTAGTCTCTGCCTACCCCTCTGGGTGACAGGCGTGATAGTATTATGTTTAAATTGTAGTAGTTTAAAGTGTAGTAGTAGTATTTTTATACTCCTACTGTGGTAAATTTAATGAGTGACTAGTTATTGTTAGGTATCCTATACCTTTAAACGAGAAATTCTTGTATAGGAAATATATATATATATATATATATATATATATATATATATATATATATATATATAATTGGAATCTCGGAAACGGCTCCAACGATTTTCATAAAATTTAGCGTCCGGGGAGTTTCGGGGGGCAATAAATCGATCTAGCTAGGATTTATATTTAGAAAATGTCTTTTTGTCCGTGTTTTCAGGCAATGAAAAACTGCTACAATATAAGAAGGTAAATTTTGACACTGTGTTAATGATCGTAATAGCTCAAGTGGATATCGAGCGGTCGCGAAATCGTAATGCCTTGGTTCGCGTCCTGTTTTCGGTCCGACTTTTTTCCTTTTTTTCCAAGTTCCCTTCTTTTGTGAGAAAATCTATTATTTCGAGCCCTCTTTTTTAGTATTTCAGATCAAAAAATATTATTAATTTTTCATCAGTACGTAATTTGTATTTAAATGTAGACAGGTCATCCAGGTACCGGTATATTTATATTGTTTTCGGTTGAGATTCGAAACTGCAACCCAGCGAGGAGTAGCAGAAAGAGAATTCAACTTCAGTAAATGCCTTCGTTAATGTAAGTGTTCGAACGTAGTCGTCACCTTAGGCGCAATTGATTTATAAAATGGTTTTATTTTTATTCATTTATTTATTTCATGACCAAGACAAAATCTACGTTGTACAATGACTGCAGCTACATTATGGTTGAAGTACGAATGGATTGGCTCAACTGAGGAAAGACTCCACTTTCACAGAATACCAGCATAAAATGGCAGCTTTATGCTGCTGTGTTTCGTATGGTGAGTGTAGGAACCCTATTTTACTGGATACGTAGTTCTCAGGGGGAACAACGCATCTGCAATTTGATTTGATTGTGAACCGAGGATAGCATGCACTTGCCATCAGGTGGACTGTGTGCTCGTTTGTCACCCATATTACCTCCTCTACATTAGAAAATCAAAATAACTGTAAAAAAATAATGTATTAGTAGTTTCGCAAAAAAATAAATAGACGTAGAGTACTACCATTTTGTGACCACGTTGGTAGTTATTTTTTAAGTTATAACATAGCCATGATAAAATATACGAATATTATAAGATAAAGACGTAGGAGTAAAAGTATATTTGAACTAGTGATCAGCTAATACAATTTACAATTTAATCATTTGTAATGAACAGTAAAGTAACTTAGTGGTACTTATTTTCTCTATCACCTTTTTTCTGACAAAGAAAGGAAAATATTTAATGTCCTTTTTTGCCAATTTTTTGCTGTAGAGAGGTCGCGCTTTTGGAACCGTTACTATAATTTTTCCGTTCATAGAAGCGTTATTTTAAATTTAAACGTGACAATACTTATATGTAATTTTTGTAAATTTAAAAGAAAACGTAACTATCACTAAACATAGAGTAATTAGATTGCTACACAAGGATGTTCAATAGATGCAGGCACTTGTGACATTGGTAGCGTCTGTGAATATTGAAGTAGATCAATAAATGCTACCTTAATATTCCCAGCTGTGCACGAATCACGATACGAACAATGAACATGAAATTACAAATTAGTAATAGTATCACTTTAATGTAGAGGCGGGAGTAGCACTATTCACTATTTTACTAGTGTAGATACATGTTTATTATAATTCTTGATTGTAAACCGTGTATTTGGCGATATTATATTACTAACTTGTTACCAACTTACAAAAATAAATATGACATTGCTTTTAAAATATAACTAACAAACATGGCATCTCGAATGTCAATTTCATTGAAACAAATTCGCTTAGAGTAGTTACATATATAAATTCACAAACGATGAAGTTAAAGCCTATTTAGTATTTACGTCCCACTGTTGGGCATAGGCCTTCTCTCGTTTCTGAGAGAGTTTTAGGGCAAGAAAGTGACCGCCGCGCTACCCCAATGCATGTTGGCGATCTTTACATATCTTCGCAACATTTTTTATTTTTTATTTCTATGATATGCTGGCAGTACGATGTTTCCCTTTACTGCCGAGCACGTGGTATATCAGCATTTAAAATTCTAATAAATAATTTCATTGGTGCCGTCGGGGATCGAACACGGGTTGCTCGCGTACTGTGAAATTAACAGCGAGCGTTTACCGTCTGAGCTACCACGGCTCGCTACGCAAACGATAGTTAATATTGAAATTAACAGTGCATTGACTGACGCAGGTTCATGTTTTAATGATGTCACAAGGAAGCTTTAAAATCGGTCGAGTTATAAATCGTCATCCCATGTTAATTTAATTTGGCAATGTTGTACATTAGAAATTGTTGAATTCGATGAGACCTAAACCCATCGCGTGGTAATATTTGAGCGAAAACACAAATGAGACGTGACAGCTCAGTGGTTAACCGCTCGTCGTAATATTTTTTCTTTTAAGAAGAGGAACAAACGGAGCACGCGGCTCATCTGATGGTAAGTGTCAACCGCTAAAAGAAGAATTGCGGGTTCGTTAGCGGCCTTTTAAAAAGGAGTAAGCTCATTTCGTGCACGTTCCTTAGTCGTTCCCGGTCGGGCAAAATCGTCGGTACTCGTCGATTCCACAAAGATGTCGCGCGATAAAGTAAGCTCTTAGTAAATCGCACTGCGGTGTACCGCCAAGCATCGAAACCATCGATATATATGTACTACGCACTAGATTTCGCATTCCAAACACTCACTATATTCAACTGAACTGTACTGCAATCCGTACACCTGTTATTGTGGCTTCGATATTCATGCAGCGAAGAGCGACGCTAATAATAATTTTAAATTAAATTAGCACATGTATTAACAATAAAATCTAAATAAACAATTATTTATTGTGACAATTTTCGCACGTTTATATCAACTGCGCATGCGCGACTCTACTGTTTCCCGCGTATACGCGGATACAGAGTAGGGCATATTTTTTGTTTGGAATAGCTTCTCTAGTACGTAGTACATACAAAGACTATATTCTCTATGAGTACATATAACTCAATAGCTGAAACGGTGTGAATAGTATCGAGAGTTTTGACGCGATTTGCGATGATGGAATTAGAAGGCCAAATAATTCCTCTGTACACTCTCCGTGATAAATGCGATAGGAAATGCATGGGCATGTAACATCTGTTGTATTTTTGCATTCTGTTTATGCTATGCTACGTAATATCAACTTTTTTTTAAATTACAAAAATAAAATACTACTATACTATTATTTTGTAGTTTTATTTTCGGCTAGAGAACCTTATTTTGAAACGGTAGTTGATTAACGAACATGTTAACTTAATGTAATTTCATTTTATTTCAATATAATTAAGAAATATGGAAACATAGTAAAAAGAAGTCGAAATAACAAATTGAATGCAGAAGCCCTTTTGTTATGTAAATAACAATACAATTCAATTTAGATCAAGAGCACGTGTATCCAGATAAGAAGTTATTTACCCACGCGGAGCAACACTGTTTGCCCATTCCACTGTTACTCCCTCGCCCAGGTTTAAAACAATCAGTTTACGCGTCTAATGTAAATGCAACTCTAATACGTTCAAACAGGCGT